TTCTGAGGATGGAAGCCATAGTCATGGGCTGGGTGGCCCCTAGCAGCTGGGCAAAGAAAGAGTCTCTGCTAGGAATTTAGAAGGAATGCAACTCCAAGGACACTTTAATTTCAGCCCAGGGAGACCTATTATGAACTTAAGACCTCCAGAAATTACCATATAATAAATTTGTGGTGCTTTAAGCCACTAAGTTTAGAGCAGGAGTAATTTGTTACAGAAATAATGGAAAAGCAATATACTTCCTTTCCTCATTTTTGAAAACACTGCGAATTTGCTGCCAGGTGCCCCTTACTGCTTTGTAGGTGCTGAGAAAGTACTATTTTCTTTTCTCCCTACTATGAGTCTGAAGATTAAGCTCCTTTCTTTACCCTATTAAGTCATAAAACCCTTAAGAGAAGAGTATATAAAAGAGTGCTTGCTACGTTTTCTGAACTGTCTGCTACTGTGCTATGGTAGGCACATAGTCAGCGAAATGGCATTATAAAGAACAAACATTTAAAGTGAATAATTTGAAGAAAGTCTAATGAAAGGACTAGTCACAAAGGTGTGGGCAAAGCAAAGAATTCTCTTGGGAGTACGAATTTACTTGATTAAATTCTGAAGTGTGAAAAGAAGAGGGATTTGTTACTGGAATCCAGAGAAAGAAAATCAGATAGAGCTAAAGCTAGAGCTAGACATAAAGCTAGAGCTGGAGCTAGAGCTAGAGAATAGTGAAGCATGCTATGAAAAATCGATGTACAGAGAACTGCCTGATATAGTTGGGATTTGGTGGAGAGATAAAACTGACCTGCAGCCAGATGTTCTTCAGACAAAAGATTACTATTGAGCACATATAAAGAACTAAAAAGAATTAGTCCTCCCAGTTTCAAAGACCCAATACCAAATGGGCATCTAAGATGAATACAAACTTCTCATATGAAGAAGTACAAACAGCAAATAAATACGTGAGAAAATGTTCAGCTTTACTGGTCACTCGAGATATGCAAATTAAAATAACACTTATATTCCACCTCACCCTGGGAAGAATGGCTAGTATCAAGAAACCAACGAAATATAACAAATGCTGGAGATTTCTCAGAAAAATTAGGATTGGAGGTCCCATTCAATCCAGCTATTTCCCATCTAGGGATCTTCCCAAAAGAATTAAAAACATCATACCACAGTGACATATGTGCACCCATGTTTATAGCAGCACAGTTTATAATAGCCAGATCTTGGAAACAACTTAAATGCCCATTGACTGAGGGAAAGATAAAAAGATGTGGTAGTTTTTATACAATGGAGTATTACTCATCCATAAATGACGATAAACTGGACACTTTTATAGGTAAATGGATGTACCTTGAGAACACACTCATTAGTGAAATATATAAGACACACATACAAACATTGTATTGTTTCATTAGTGTGACAAACTGAAAGAAAAAAACATGTATATGTGTACATATATGTATATAAAAATAGTTAAGACAGTCATACTACAGATTTCTGAGTTCACTGAAGAGAAAGATTTGTACTGGTAGTATTTGGACAATTAAATGCAGATGTCGTGTGCTCTTGGTCAATGATTTGGGGATGACAATGTACAGTGTATGTACCATTGTTATCTGCTGATTGACGTACTTTAAAATTTTGTTGTACATTTTATTCTTCTTTTCTTTCTTTTTATCTATGAATAAAATGGATTTGAAAAAAAAAAAAAAAAAGAAAACTGACCTGCTACAATCCTGCAGGGAGAGATGAAGCAAGTAGCTAAGTCCTGCTCTCCACTCCCTTCAGTCATCTTTAGTGCTCCCTGCTGACCATCTCAGTCAGAATTTGAGAGCAGAGGGCCAAGCATAACCATAGTAGTCAGTCTCCAGGGACAGAGTGCTTCATGGTGACTAAGTAAGGTCAGGTTTAGGAAAGCAAGAAGAATCCAGCACACAGCAATATGCATTAGTAATTTGTGGAATATTATGGCTTGTATCTAGATGTCCTCCCAAAGCCTAACTCACTCATAGGGTATGTGATAGCTAAGTTGGTCCAGTGATTGGTTTAACATAGTTGAGTGTGGCTGATGGGAAGTCTACCCTGGGTGTGGGTGCCACTAACAAAAAGAGTTGTGGCCTAGATGAAATACAAAGGAAAGATGGAAGGCAGGATCTTTGTCTTTTGACAGCCAGGCATGTACTCTTTCTGTTTTGCCCTGTCCCTCTTCCATACCACCATGTCTTTGAGTCAGAAAACTATGAACTGAAACCTCTACAAATTGAACTAAAATCAACTTTTCCTTCTTTAGTTTTAGGTGTTGGGTATTTTGTTTCAACAACATAAAAAGTAACTAAGACAAGGGAGGAATGACTGGTGGAGGAAATTTACCTATAGAGGTAGGGATGGCTTGAGAATGGACAATGCAAAAGATTATTTTAGTAGAAAATTCAGTGCCTAATTCTATCAGATGCTCAAATGAGCAAATGAATGCATTTATGTTCATGTAAGAATATTAGCTGGCATTGCTGAGCAGAGAGCCAGACATTGGATGGAAATTTTAATTCCATAATTGGGATGGTCTCACAATTCTTTAAGTGGGGTGAAAGTTTGGTCAACAAACTTTAGTTGATTCTTGTTATGGATAGACACAGACCCCTATACAAAGGGTTATGAAATAAGGCATGGAACAGGATTACAAGGTAGTGTCCATTTAAAAGACTTATCCAATTATTTATACACGTTTTTCTGAAATGCTGGAACTTGCTAGCGTTTCATGTACCCCTTAGTTGGTGACCTTTTATGGGATTGGGATCTATCTCTACATTTAATTTTGTTTAAGTTTGCCTTGCCAAGTTGCCATTTGAAATCATTGCTTTCTTGTCAGGTTGAGAGCCTGTGGAAGCCTAACCAGAGAAATGAAGAAAATCAAAACACAGTCCCGTAATTTAAAAAGCCAATCCAGTAAAATCAAATTAAGTACCAGTCCATCTGGCTCCTCACTACACTACCTGTGATTTCGTTCAGGTGTACTGTGCACCTGATTGGAAATACAAACACTAATTGCTTGTATCCTGCCAGACTTCTTGATTCCTCTGGGCCTTTGAAGAAAACAAAAAATATATATATCTCCCAGGAATAGAATCCATCTGGCTTAAGGAAAATGACATTAACTCTCAATAGACTCAGAAGATTTTTTAAACTACAACTGCTGAAAAACTGGGGCAGGATATTTCTAATCAGACCCCAGAGGAAAGGGTGTGTCAGGCACATCAACTTTTTGTTATCTTTTCTTGTGTTCTCAGCTGAAAATACCCAGGCTTGGGTGACTCCCAGATAATCTCTAGACAGAATTGTTACTTAACCCTAGTAAGGAAAAAAAAACATAGGTGGGCTTGCATTAATTTTCAAGGACTGTTAATTCTGCAAAATAATAGGAAACTGTTCATTAAAGGATGTTTATTAGGATCAGCTTCTCCAAACCATGAACACCATCTCCCAGACTGCTGAGCAGATCCTGTGGAGGCTGGGAATTGATTTCCTGGGTAAGGACATCTCGTGGAGAAAGGACAATGGAAATGCAGCAGTATTATGAGCATCTCATCCTCATTCTCTATTACACATGTCTGGTATTTTATAATTTCCTCTGATACCCCACAGCTATGGTTTCATTTAATCTTTTCAACAGTCATATGAATCAGGGTGAAGAGATGCTCAAGAATTTTATTAGTCTTTTTTCTAGTCAGCTTATCCTCTGCTTTCAACCTTCTAGTTCATCTTCCTCAGTTCAGTGAGAGTAATCTATTTAACATGTGCATTTTATCAACTCAATTCTTGCTCAATTATTTTTCTAAATAGCTCCCCATTACTTTTAGCATAAATATCACTTTCCTCATAGGACATAAAGCAGCAGTGAATCTGGTCTCTGTGTATGTTTCTGCCCTAATCCACCATTCTCCTCTCTTCCTGTGTGAATCTTCTACAACACTGACTTCTCCTTTGCACTATGTATCATAATCTCTTTCAAACTCAGCCTACAAGGTCTCCCTCCCAGAGTCTATCATTGCTTAATCCTTACTCATTCAGTTCTTCTTGGCCAATCAATATTTTCTTTCAATTCATCAATGATCCCAGCAGAGAGATTTAGTAGGCTTTTTTTGTTTCTGTCTATTTCTCATTTTATTACTGGACAAGTCTTAGTTTTTATGTCTGTTTCCCTATTACAATGTAATTTCTGGAAAGATAGGAAGAGTGTCATGTAATTTTTGTAATCCTAGTCTGAGGGCAGAGCCCAGACTATCCATGAATGAGTAAAGGAAAGTCTATTAATGCTGTCAAGAAATATTGGTGCCCAGTTGGGCTATCCTTGCTGAGATGGCAAACTTCCTGCAGGCACAGCCTGGTAACATCTGTCTTTCTCCTGTTGGGTTCACTTGTTGCTTCTGAGTGATGAGACTAGTGAGACCTACTTCTGCTACTCACCCATATATAATCAGAAAGTATAGCAAAGCTAATATTCATAGAGAATTCATTGGACTCACAGGCAGTGGGAGAAGGAAAAGAACCCGGGAGGACAAGCCTGAGATGCTGAATTTCTTATGGCATTTTCAAGATGGTCCTACCAGGTTTAGAGGTATGTATCCAATGATAGTCAAAAGTCAACTCACACATGTTGGGAGCCTGTCATGTTATTCATGAGAGCATATTCATAAGATGGCACCCGCCTGCCGCCTCTGCTGCTCCCCCGCCCATCGTGTGCCCAAGATGGCACCTACATCCTGCTTCCGGGTTCTTGCTCAGCTCACCGCCACCGCCAAATATGGTAGTCATTGATTACTTCCCCATTATCACCCAATTGCCTGTCCCCACGTGTAATCTCATGGTTGGATAGTACTAGCCTTATAAGCTTAGGCATAGGAAGTGCTCGGGGCACAACACGGAAGAAGCCGTCGAGGACGGACATGTATTGAGGTTGCTGCCCAGTCAATAAAGGTGCTTGCAGAGGCTGAGTGTTCGTGTGCTCCATTCAGCGGGATGGAAGCGGCTCCGGACAGCTGGTGGCCCGTACGGGGACCCTGTGATTGCCCCCGCGCCCTCTGCGACTCCTGTGACTGCGTTGAGAGACGGTACGTACCTGCGGGTGAGTGGAGGCTCAACCCGGCCCTTGGTGGACGCACTTTAAGGGATTTGTTAGTCGACCCCTTGTTAGGGTCGATTTTGCCCGAAAAGGAAGGGCAGGCCCCTGCTGGCTATAGCGCCTCGGGGCTTTCTATATTTGCTAAAATGGGCAATGTTAATTGTGGCCCCCTCGCCCTATCATTGCGGATGTTGCTTGGGGCACGAGGAATTAGGATGGAAAAACAAACGGTTTTACAATTCTTCAAATGCATCAACGATTTGGCCCCGTGGTTCCTGCCCACCGGCTCCCTCACCTTGCCCTCCTGGGAGAAATTAGGACGAGACATTCAATTTGCAGAAGAGCAAGGCATGGGTGTCGACCCCATGGTTCGCCCCATTTGGGAGATGGTTCGTGCATGTCTCAGAACCGAAAGTATGGTAGGCGCAGCCCAGGGACTCAAAGAGGCACGCCACGCTTTCGAGCAGGCGCGCTCAGAGAGCTCCAGGGAGGCCTCAGAGTTTGGCTCACCGAGCCATTCAGATTCAGAGGGGGAAGACCCTAAGGTGGGCCCAAAGGAGGAAACTGACAGTAAGATAGGCCCACATTGCAATACAGGGCAGAAAGTTCATAAACCTGCTGGAGCCTTGTGTGAAGGGATGATGGAGAGCCTAGGGGAGGAGCTCGAGAGGGTGGAGAGTGATCTGCAGGAAATGCACACCCCCGGCGAGGCGGGGTTAGTCCCGTCGGCCCCTCCCTGGGAACCACCCCAGGGAATGAGTGCCCCTGGTGGTTGGGGGCCGCCTCCTCCCTTCCCTGCCACACTTCTGTTCTCCGGGCGCCGCTCATTTCATGGCCGTTTATGGGACGTCTTGTGTAGGGGCCTTGCCTCGTATGACGCTCCCAGCTTCTACCCAGTCTTCCAGGACCAGGCCGGCGTGCCTTATTATCAGCCCCTGGACATGAAAGTGGTTAAGGGGTTAAAAGAGGCAGTCTCCACTTACGGCCCCAACGCCCCCTTTACGCAGGCTCTTTTGGAAAACATAGGAGCCACCCCTCTGACACCCTCGGATTGGGCACAACTCGCAAGGGCGTGTTTGTCCCCAGGCCAATTTATGGACTGGAAGGCATGGAATGATGAGTATTGTGGAGAGCAGGCTGAGAAAAACGCTAGAGAGCGCAATGTCAGGTGGAACAAAGATATGTTATTAGGCCAGGGAGCCCATGCACAGGATCAAATTTGACATCCTCAGGCAGTTTATGATCAGATTACTAAGTGTGCCATCGCTGCTTGGAAACAACTTGCCAAGGCAGGCGAACATACTGCCTGTCTTACCAAAATTGTGCAGGGAACGACAGAGCCTTTTTCTGATTTTGTGGCCAGGATGTTAGATGCCGCCGGCAAGGTCTTTCCAGACCCTAGTGTAGCCCAGCCCCTGGTAAAACAGCTAGTCTTTGAACAGTGTACCAAGGATTGCCATGCAGTGATTACACCGCACAAAAATAAGAGTCTAGAGACTTGGACCAAGTTATGCAGAGAGGTAGGGGGGCCGCTATCCAATTCAGGCCTTGCAACCCTGGTGAGCGCATCTATTAACGCCGCCCTCAGCTCTCGCACCCCAGCAACACAACAACAGACACAAAGAAATAAAAAATGTTTTGAGTGCGGCCAGACAGGACATGTTAGGAGATTTTGTCCAAATAAAGAAAGCAAAGGTGACCACCCTCAACCAAGTGGGACACCCCATGGAGGACAAGCGGGCCTATGTCAACGGTGCCGTAAGGGCCACCATGCCGCCAAGGACTGTCGTTCCGTTTTTGATAAGGAGGGCAATTCTCTAACTGGCCGCAAAGAGTCCCAGTCAAAAAACGGCCAGAGGGGGCCCTCCCACTGGGCGGGCCCCCATCCCCTCAACAACCTCTTCCCGGGAATGAACAGCCAGTTAGGGCCACCCCAGGATCAGCAGGAGTGGCCCTCTGTGCCACCTCCGGACTCATACTAACACCTGACATGGGAGTCCAATTGATAGAAACTTCATTTAAGGGGCCATTGCCACCGAATACTGTTGGCCTGCTTTTAGGGCGCTCTTCAGTGGCCCTTCGTGGCCTTATAGTTGTGCCAGGTGTCATCGATTCTGATTATATGGGCAAGGTTAAGATTATGGCTCAGTCATTACAAGGAACACTGATTATAAACAAAGGGGATAGGATAGCCCAGTTACTTATTCTGCCCAGCTTGCATGGTCAATATCCAGCTAAGCAACAGTCTCGGGGTGCCCAGGGATTTGGGTCCACAGGCGAAAATTTTATTGGCCTTCATATGACCTTGCAGGAACGACCCATGTTGCTCCTCTCAATCAATGGTAAGAAAATTAAGGGGTTGCTAGACACCAGCGCTGACTGCTCTATCATTGCTCATAAAGATTGGCCGGCCTCCTGGCCCCTCAATGTGGCAGAACAGACCCTTCAGGGATTGGGATTTGTGCATTCACCCAGTATAAGTGCGCAGTCCCTTCCCTGGCAGGACGAGGAGGGACATGGTGGGTCTTTTCAACCCTATGTCCTTAACCTCCCAGTAACCCTTTGGGGCAGAGATATTCTAGTCCAAATGGACATCACCCTACATATGGGATGTTCTGAGGTGTCTCAAAACATGATGAAGCAGATGGGCTATACCCCCGGTAAAGGCCTGGGAATCAAATTGCAAGGAAATACTTCTCCTGTGTCCACTACCATTAAACAAGACAGGAAAGGGTTGGATTTTTCTTAGGGGCCGCTGCAATGCCTCTCACACCCACTCCCATAAAATTGACATGGAAGTCAGATACCCCTGTCTGGGTGACGCAGTGGCCCCTGCCTACAGAGAAAAGAGAGGCAGCATTTCAATTGATACAAGAGCAGTTACGGCTGGGGCACATCCAGCCGTCCACTTCCCCTTGGAATACCCCTATATTTGTTATCAAAAAGAAATCTGGAAAGTGGAGGCTTCTCCATGATTTGCGGGCCGTCAATGCACAGGTCCAGCCGCTGGGAGCAGTACAGCGAGGCCTGCCGGCACTCACAGCCCTACCGCGAGGATGGCCTCTCTATGTGATAGACTTGAAGGATTGTTTTTTCTCTATCCCATTACATGAGGCAGATACCCCCCGATTTGCATTCACCTTGCCCACGATCAATCAGGAGGGTCCAGATTTACACTTTGAATGGAAGGCTCTGCCCCAAGGAATGACCAATAGCCCCACTATATGCCAGCTGTATGTCAGCTCGGTCATTCAGCCGGTGCTTCAAGAATTCCCTACCATCAGGTGTTTTCATTACATGGATGACATCCTACTTTCTGGGAAGGACGAGGTCAAACTACGGTCTGCCCTCAGTTCACTGGTTGACACACTCCACCAGGCTAACCTGCATATGGCCCCAAACAAGATCCAACAGTCTGCCCTAACCTCGTATTTGGGGGCTAACATCTCACCTACTCAGATCTTTCCTCAAAGGCTTACCATCCGCAGGGACACCATAAAGACCCTCAACGATGCTCAGCAATTGCTAGGTGATATTAATTGGATCAGGCCGTATCTGTCTTTGCCCAATCACTAGCTACAGCCCCTATTTGAAATTCTCAAGGGAGACTCAGATCTAACTTCCCCCAGGGTGCTCAACCCGGAGGCAGAAGCTGCCCTGCAGAAGGTTGAACAAGCACTAACTAAGGCAGCACTGCAACGTATTGACCCAGAAAAACCTTTTGTCGCATGCCTCTTGAAAACAGCAAAACAACCTACAGCCGCTTTATGGCAAGATGGACCCCTGCTTTGGGTCCATCCCAGAGTCTCCCCTGCTAAGGTTATATAGTACTACCCAGAAGCGATAGCCTCTCTCGCCCTAAGAGCTGTCCAACAATCCATCCAACATTTTGGCGTCCCGCCCGCAGCGTTGCATGTTCCTTATGCTGAGGAACAGATACAAACCCTAACAGCTTGTGTAGATGTGTGGGCTATCCTCAGATGCTCCTTTCATGGACCCATCAATAATCAGATGCCCAGAAGCCCGCTCCTACAATTTATGACTGCCCACCCGGTTATTTTCCCTAAAATAACCTCCTCACAGCCCATCGCGAATGCTCCGGTAATATTTACGGATGGGTCGAAATCGGGGGTAGGGGCATATGTAGTGGCCGGCCACCCCCCGGTCTCTCACCAGTTCGCCCCTGATCGGCCTCAGGTAGTGGAACTCCAAATTGTGTTAAAGGTCCTTCGAATGTTTCCAGAGAACATTAACATCGTTTCAGACTCCAAGTATGTGGTCAATGCCATGCAGATCTTAGAATCGGCCAGATCTATTAAGCCCTCTTCCACAGTTACTCACTTATTACAAGACATACAGAACCTGCTGCTCTCCCGCAGGGGTAAGGTGTTCACCACTCACATTAGGGCCCATAGTCAACTGCCTGGACCTCTGTCCCAGGGCAACGCTGTCGCTGATGCAGCAACGCGCCCCTTGTGGATCTTCGAATTCCAGGACCCATATTCAGCAGCAAAGGAGTTCCATTCCTTGTATCATGTTAATGCGCGCACCCTAGCGGCACGATTTGGGATACCTAGACAACAGGCACGTGAGATAGTAAGGTTATGCTCAGATTGCACGGTTCTTCTACCTACACCCTCTGTCGGAATCAATCCTAGAGGCTTGAGTCCCAATCACATCTGGCAAATGGATGTTACCCATATTCAAGAATTTGGAACCCTTAAATACATGCATGTGTCTGTTGACACCCTTTCGCAGGTTATCTTTGCCACTGCAGAAACCGGTGAAAGGGTCACACATGTTATTAATCATTGCCTGGCTGCCTGGGCTGCATGGGGAAGGCCAAAAATACTAAAGACTGATTATGGCCCGGCATATACTAGCCAAGCCTTCGCTCAATTCTGCTCTAGAATGCAAGTAACTCTCAAACATGGAATACCCTATAACCCACAAGGGCAGGGCATTATTGAACGAGCTCATAGAACACTCAAGACTGTCTTACAAAAACAAAAGGAGGGAATAGGCCATGGCCTCCCCCCGAAAGGAAGACTCTCATTGGCTCTGTTTACATATAATTTTTTAAATCTGAATGCACATGATTGCTCCCCTGCAGAGGAGCACACAAGTCCCTCTCCTAAGCATAAGGGTATGGTAAAATGGAAGGATGTCCTTACAGGACAATGGAATGGCCCGGACCCAGCGCTCAGCTGGACCCGAGGTGCGGTTTGTGTCTTCCCACAGGAACCAGGAAAGGAACCAGTGTGGATTCCAGAACGACGGTGAGGATCTCCAACGCGCTGCGGACGGAGGAACCACAGGAGCTGGGAAATGACTCCGTCACCGAAAAGCAATCGCCCTGCCAACAATGCGACAGTTGAGGTCTGGGGGATTCCCCTGATGTTACTGGTCACAGGTACCTTGGGAACCCCCACTCACGTCAAGTTTGCTAGGCGAAGCTATAGTGTATATCTCCACATAGTATTGCTTGCTATCGCCACCAGCATGGCTGCCGCACAGGATACCCAGTATCTTTGGGGCCTTTGGCACCACCCCCCCACTTTGGCCCCCTTTTCTGCGGCTTCCCCTGCGTCACCCATGGTATATACTATCAATCAGACTATCCTAGACCTCCTTCATAAGCATGTTTCACGTACCCATTATGATTTTAACCTCTCCTTCCTGCTTACTTCCGATACGATTATACTCTCTTATGCAAACTTATCCATCACCAAAGAAAGGGCCAACCTGACATTCCCATTGCTGGAATTTGTTAATTGGACACGCCAGGAACGTGAGGGTACATCCAGGGTCAATTCGTCAGAAGGATTAAAAAAACCCCAAAAACCTGTCTGACCCTTAATGAGGCGCGGTGGCCCATACTGCCTGACTGTAATAAAGATTTCCAGGCCCCAAGGCATCCGTCCTTTGAATCCTGCTCTAATATTCCCAGAATGACTAACTAGAAGCCTCTAATATTCCCAGAATGACTAGACTAGAAGAACTCTTCTGGCGCCGCTGTGTCCTGGTTGTGCATCCCTACCCTGTAACACAGGAGGGATGGTGGCTCTGGACCACTCACCCTAGAAAGGAGGGTAATATATCCAAAATCCTAAATTACTCGGTGGAAGCCGCCTGGTTGTCTATGAGTTACTGCAATGAGCCTCAATCTAACCTCCTCAAATATACTTCCTCCATATTTGCAAAACATCAGCTCTGTAACATAATGGGAGCATGCTTAGACCTTCGCCCCTTCATGACACTTAATCAGACATTGTCCAATACTTCCACTGCCACCGGGGCAGCCAATAAGACCCACCCGCTCAACAAGGAGATCTGTGTAGACCCTTCGTTTGTCTTTGTCCTCTCCCATCGGTATTCCTTTTATTGTAACTCCTCTGCTGATAATGAGACCAATGAGACCATCTGCACACTGTCCAACTGCTGGAATGGTTACCCTAATTTCGCCATTCTAGCTTACCACCCAAGTTATCTTTGGATTCCCGTGCAAGCCCAGGACTGGGTTGGACCGGTCTCACAGCAGATCTCGCTCTCTTCCTTACCAACCAGAACTAAAAGAGGGATAAAAGATTGGTTGTGGCAGGCAGCGGGGGTGGTCTCTTCTTTGTTTGTCCCTGCAGTGGGACAGGCTGTTTTGCAGGCATGGACCTCCGACCAGCTTGCGTTGACCATGGAGGCGGTCAATCGGCTGAGCAACGCCACACGGGAAACCATTAGAGCCCAGGAACAACAGATAGAGCTAAACAGCCAAGCAATACTCCGGCTACAAGAAGAAATCCAACTCATCGGACAAGAGATCGATGCCCTGTGGCAGGTCGCCACTCAACTTTGCGACCAGAGGTGGCTGTCCTTCTGGGTGTGCGTCACTCCCGTTCGCACCAACTTGACTGAAACCACAAAAACTATGACCGCGTGGTTACAGGACACTTATCTGCCAAAATTTCATAATCTGTCTGTGATTGTTAATCACGAGTTAAATGAGATAGAAAAGGTTCAATTAAACCCAGTTAGGTTTGATTTGTCTACCCTGAGGGACGTCCTAAAAGGTTTGTGGGACCATGTCGCTTCCTGGTTCTCTTGGCCCAATTTGACTACTTGGATTCTGATTGTTGTTGCCATACTGGTGGGGTTGGTGCTCATCAAATGCTTGCTAGACCGCTTGATGCAAACCCAGCAGCAGGTCAAGTTCACAGCTATGGCGTCAATGCAGCTGGTGGAGGGGGGCCCATCCGGTAGCCAGGCGGCTGCATATCTCCTCCATGTCGCAGAGCATCAGTTATAAAATGCTGGATGGGTGAGCCAAAGACGGGTAAGACTGAGGTACCCCACCTTGCTCAACCTAAGACAGGCCCCATTCCACACAATGACAGCAAGAGGCACCAAGGTGCGAGACCAATGGTACTGCATGACACTCTACTCTTGGGGGTGTAAGAGAGAGGTCAGACTATATGCCTGTATGCATCTAGGTTTCATCCTAAATACCCTAGCCCCACGCAAAGGGATGAGGCTTGAAGGTTCCTTTGGACACAGGGGTGGCCAACCTGTGCCTGAGGGTAGCCACAGAGCCATACACAGCGGGGTACAGACCACTGTAGTCACTTGGAAGACCTCGCTGTCATTTGCTTGTAAATAAGAAAGGGGGAGATGTTGGGAGCCTGTCATGTTATTCATGAGAGCATATTCATAAGATGGCACCCGCCTGCCGCCTCTGCTGCTCCCCCGCCCATCATGTGCCCAAGATGGCACCTACATCCTGCTTCCGGGTTCTTGCTCAGCTCACCGCCACCGCCAAATATGGTAGTCATTGATTACTTCCCCATTATCACCCAATTGCCTGTCCCCACGTGTAATCTCATGGTTGGATAGTACTAGCCTTATAAGCTTAGGCATAGGAAGTGCTCGGGGCACAACACGGAAGAAGCCGTCGAGGACGGACATGTATTGAGGTTGCTGCCCAGTCAATAAAGGTGCTTGCAGAGGCTGAGTGTTCGTGTGCTCCATTCAGCGGGACGGAAGCGGCTCTGGACACACACATATTCTCTTTCTTTATTTCTTTTGTGCCTTTTCTGTCTCTCCTACAACCCCATTAAATAGCCCATATCCTAACCAAAGGCAAGGTATAAGCTTCCCTTGCAGGCTTCTTTTCCTGGGCAACTCAAACAGTAATTGGTAAAGAATTTAGTTAGAGCTTAATAAATGTGTGCTAGAAGAATGAACAAAACATCAGAAACTTTCACCAGCAGTTGTATTTTAGCATAATTATTGTATTTCCTGCTTCTAAGTGCAGTCATAATAATTGCAGAATATGTGTCCGCAAGTTCCAGGGAGGAAGAGAATGGACAGATTAAATTTACATTTCTACTACAGTAATATTCAAACCATTTAATGGAATATTTCAGGTTTTGATAACACCTTATATAGGAAAACTTATTTCTCTCTCTGTCTCTCTCTCTCTCTCTTTTTTTATCCATACCAGGGATCGAACTCACAACCACTTGCTTGCAAGGCAGGTGCTTATGCCGCTGAACTAAATCCCCAGCCCCTTTTTTTCTCTTTTTAAGTCCAGATAATAACCAAAAGAATGCTTTCTAACCATCTAGGCTCATCCAATTTTTCGCTGGCCTAGTCCATGTTAAATGAAGATAAATTGTCTTGGACCACATATAAAATGTACAATATAGTTAATGTATATAAATAACAAAATTTTCTTTTAAAATATTTGTGATTATGACATTTAAAAAAGGAGGGACAGCTTTAGGTCACATATTGGACAAATACAGAGAAAAGAGTCATAATTTTAACATAATATTTCAGGTATCTGGTGTTTGATGGCTATTATTGAGTCTAAATGTGGGAATTTCCTGTGACATTGCCATAAATGAGTTCCTGCATGGTCGAGGGGCACCAGAAGGTGGACCTAATAACTTCAGCACAGCAGAGAGTCAGTAAATTTTGGCTGCTATGAGTAGGTACAATATATTTGATAACCAGCCCAAAGCTCATCTCTTGAGCTGTGCTTACAAAATAAAGATTTTGGTGTTAGCTAATTTTAGCTGAGTATATATTGAACAGAATTATTCAGATTTCTAAATTAAATGTTTATCCTTAAAGGAAAAAATGCTTTGAGATGAAGAGTCTTACTGATTGACTGCCCATGGGAGTCATTTTGATTCTTTTTAATCCTCAGTTGCTGTTGTGTGACTGAGAATGAGTACTCTTGAAGCTTTGTATACTGCTGTACTGGACCAGTACTTTTCAGATTGCAATGAATATAGGAATCACCTGGGCATATTGTTGAGAAGCCTCTCATCTATTAGTCTACAGTGAGACTCCAGATTCTAAATTTTAACAAACTCCTGGGTACTTCTTTCTTTTCTTTCTTTCTTCCTTTCTTTCTTTCTTTCTTTCTTTCTTTCTTTCTTTCTTTCTTTCTTTCTTTCTTTCTTCCTTTCTTCTTTCTTTCTTTTGTTTTCTTTTCTTGTAAAGAGAATAAAGTCAAACAAAATAAAACAGAATAAGCTCAATTAAAATAGAACAATGAAAGTGATATAGGACTTCAAATCCAGATAATAGAAAATCAACAATGATGACCATAATGCCTCTTGTTATCTTCAAAATAGCTGTCCATACTATCAGACAAGATAAAAACAAACAAAACAAAGCAAAATGAAACCAATCAGAACAAAACAATGGAAGCATTACAGAACTTCAGAATCAAATAATACAAAGACAGCAATGGCTATGATAATGTATCTTATTATCTTCAAAATAACTGACCATATCATCACACGTGATAAAATCAAATAAGACGGAATAAAACCAAACCTAAAAAAACAGTGAAAATGATACAGGAATTCAAAACAAGAGAATAGGAAATTAATAGTAATGACCACCTTCCCTTTTTAGATGTTTCCTCCTCTATCATTTTCACAATATCTACTGTACTTTTGGATTCCACTAACTCTTTCAGGTTTTTATGCTAGGGAGATAACACAATGTTCACCATTGTGAGTCCAAACATTTCATACATGAACATGATCTCGAGTTGCATCCATTTACCTTGAGATTATCATTCTTTATAGCTTATTAGCTTTCTATTGTAATAAAATACCATATCTTTCTTATCCATTCTGTGCTTGAAGGATACATTGCTCCTGCTTTTTTTCTGGTTTCTTGTCATTTGAAACAACTGTTTTCTCTCCTATGACTTTCAGTCTGCGAATTTCTTTTAGAGTTATATGTGTTTCTTTTATATAGCAATTGATGGATCTCAACTCTCAATCTACTTTTCCTGTGCTCCTTTTTATTGGTGAATTAAGGCCATTTACATTAATAGTTACAACTAGCATGCATTACCTTAATCTCTTTCATGGTATTCTCCTGCTATTAGCTCCCCACTTTTCCTCTTTGTTCAGTTGCCTGCCTTGTTTGATGATCTCCCTCTCTTCTGTTCCTGGAACCATGGTCATCTTTATCTCTCTAGAGTACACTTTAGCAGTCTTTGTAGGATTGGTTTGGTGGTCATGAATTCATTCAGTTGTTCTTTGTTATGGAAGTATCTTATTTTTTCACCAATTTTGAAAGATACTTTTGCAGGGTATATCATTCTGGGTTGGAAGATGTTTTCTTTCAGGATTTGAAACACTTCACTCCAAACTCTTCTTGACTTTATGGTTTCTGTTGAGAAGTCTGTCGTAAGTCTGATGGGTTTTTCTTTATAGCTGACCTGTTTATTTTCTCTAACAGTCTTTAATTCTGTTTCTGTGCTGAATTTCTGTGATATTAATATGTTTGGATATAGATTTATTTTGGCTTTGGTTAGCAGGAGTTCTATATATCTCGCTTCCCATGATTGGGAAGTTTTCTGCTATTACTTCTGAAAATAGTCGTTTTATGTGATTTGTGTTGATGCCTTCTTTTTCATTTACACCTAACAGTCTTAGATTCTTTTTGTTTGCATGTCTTGCAACTATCAAATTGTAATTTCCTGATTCCTTGTTATTTTTGAAAGGTGTTTCCTTTCACCATTCCTAGCTGCATTCCTGTCTGTGAGGTCTGAAGTCTGTCTTTGGTCTCTTTCAAATGGTTTTGCCAGCTTTTGATGGAGTTTTTGGTTTCCTGGATTATCTCTGAATCTGTTTCATGCACTATAATTCTTTCCTATATTGTTCATTCAAAGTTTCCACTATTTTCCTTTTAATCTATGTCTCCTTTTAATCTATATCTTTTTTAGATATGTTCAGCAATTCTTTTATTATGTTTGTGTTTTATTATTTTGCTAGAGATAGTATTTCTGACCTGGCCTCTTCTGCAACCTCATGAAGTTGTTTCTTTACTTCAGTCACTACCTTTCAGAGATTTCTGATGTGCAAATTCCATTTTCTTCCGTGTCTATATCTCTCAGGCTGGTTCTATACGTGTTGGGGATCTGAGATGTCCTTTTGTTCTTTTGTCTTGACATTCTCTGGTTTACTTCTGACAAGCATGGTCCCAGGCACTTCCTTCTTTGGCTGCCCCTTCACAGTATAGGGGAATGGCCCAGGCATTCAGGTTCCCAGGGAGGCAGTGGGATGTGGGGTGGGCTTTCTTCAGACTGGTGCAGCTACACTGCAGCTCCCGGATGGTTATGAGTGCATGGTGGTGGCCTGCTTCTTCTCTCAGCCCGTCTGCCTACTCTGAGACTCCCCCAATGGTGGCAGAGACACAGGAGTGTGTTTGTCTGATTCTTCTGGCACATGCAGGCTGTTCACAGGAAGCAAGCATCTCCAAAGGTGTCCTGTGGGTGCATAGGGCATACCTGGCTTTTTCTTCTTGCCTGAACTGGTTTTGTGAGGGAAAATATTGCCACAATAGTGGTAGGCATGCAGGGGAAAATTATACTGCTTCTCCCTGCCCATAGGAAACAAGTATTCCAATGGTGGCAGGCATACAGGGGCAGGTTTGCCTGTTTCTCCCTACCCATGCTGGTTGTCTACAGGAAGAAAGCACCCTGATTACTCTAGGTGTTTATGATGGCACTTGGACCAAAGTTTTTGGACCATATCTTGAGTCACATCCATCTGTTAACAAGTAAAGATATTTAAGAAAGTCCAACAATACTTAGAGAGCACACCAGAGTCAAAAGTCCCAAAACCCCAGGTAAGATTTAGGAATTAGATTAATTTATTTGGGTCAGATAACTATGTTTTCTTCATGATGATTATATAACCATCCATATTAAAGTAGAGCTGAATTAATTTGGATGATAGTAGAGAAACTCAGGCCGCAATGAACGCAATATGATTTCTTAGCTACAGTCTTGAGTCCGCCTAGTAAGGAGTCTTTCACTCTCCCCAACTTTTAAGCATAAGTAAGCAGCTTCTGTTTCCCTCTATTTGTCTTGCACAGTGAGAAGAAAGGCCACATGAGGATACAGCCAGAAGGTAAAGTGCCTCGAGCATTCTATCAAGGATAAAGAATAAAGAACACAACAAATAGATTAAAAAGGAGAAAGTTAATAGAGGTTACCAATATAATTGATAAAGGTAAGATTGAAATCATTGTGCGACTTCTCTGATGCAAAATAAGACAGAAAATCTCTGTTATTATTTTATTTCCTGCTGTGATCTGAAATTGAAAGGTCAAAAGTGACCTTAAGTAAATTAGGATAGTTTTGTTTTGCCTCTGGGAATACTAAAATAATGCTATCAACATGTTTTGATTTCATGTTGTTTGAAGTGTGCCAGGCTAAGAAAATGAGAGAAGCCACCTGATCGAGGGGCTTGGGACCCTGGTGATGGACTAACAGTTTGCCAGCTGCCTGCAGTGCTGTAAGGATGAAGTGTAGCAGGTGTGTTAGTTTCTCATTACCTCTGTTTCACAAGATGCTCTTGCCCTGCAGACTTAGAATAGGCTGTGCCTGAGTTTCTGTGGCATTTCAGGTGTTTGGTGATTTGCTATTTACTCTTTCTCAGGAGAGACTGCTTTATGGGGGTCAAGTCTGTA